CCTGCCTTAAGATTGATGCTGTAACTTCAGGAAGAATCAGTCGCAGTGGAGCTCTGAACTCAATCTTGCAAACTCGTGCTTCCATCTCGGGCGAGAAAGCACGTCGAATGTGCTTCAGTGATATGTACAAGTACGTCCAGTTCAGCAAGTGAGCCAAGCCAAAGCTCCTGCGCTTAATCGATCCGGGTCGTTGCGACCTCCTCCAGCCCCGAAGAAGTTCTCGCGGACTCGATCTGTACAGATGTCATAGCAAACTTAATTATAATCTGTAGATAGTCGATCACACGTAGGTACTTCAAAATGGAGACAGAAATATCTTTCTCTTTGATATTTGATACTGTCAAATTGGATTTTGCGGTGTCAGCTGCATTTCCGTATTCAAATTGTAAGCCTTATAAGATGACTTCAGCTTAAAGAAAGACGTGATACTCTATAATCAATTGCAAAGAGGATGTCTAAAAGTGAGAAAAATTGAGTGCCACAGTTTTCTCGGCTGAAGATAATGAACACTTCACTTCTACTGACCCACCCCAATCCACTTGTAATCACGTCGCATAGAGCACAATGCTGTCGGTCTCGATACTGAAGACGGAGTATCCTTTATTCAATGCACTGGCCGTCGCGAGTCTGCTACTGCTTCTGGTGGTGTGCAATTGACAAGAAACTCCGTCATCCGACTCAAAAGAGATAACCGAATCGGAACCGGGGCGGGCGACAGGAGGCAGCTCAGCCACCTTGGACTCTTCCGGTGCTGCACATCACTTTCAGAGTGTTGACAGGCACTGACATTCACAAATGGATTACGAAAAACTGTGAGCGCTTTGAAGGTCGACTGTTCACTGTGAAAGTTCTGGGGTTACCTGAAATGCTCGTTGTCTCTACTCCTTAGGCGTTTGAGGACGTACTCAAATATCAGTTCATGAACTTCCCTAAGGGACCACACTATATTGAGGACATGAAGGACTTACTGGGTGACGGCATCTTTGCCGTCGACGGAGTTAAGTGGGCACACCAACGTGACGTAGCTTGTGGCTTGTACCAAACTCAGGAGCTTCGTGACTGCATGACTAAGGCTACCACCCGACACACCAATGCGCTACACGACGTATTGAAGAACGTGTGTGCTAAGAATCGCTCCATGGACTTGTATAAACTGATAAGTTGTTACTCGACCGAAGTGTTTACGGACATGAGCTTCGGAGTGACGATGAATTGTCTACGAGCGAATAAAGAGCTCCGTTCCAAGCAGCTTTTGACCGTGCACAGCGTTTAACCGCCCAACGGTTCGTTCGCCCACGTTGGTTCTGGAAGCTACAGAAGCGATTGGGTATTGGCTCGGAAGATCAGCTCCAACTCGACATTAAGGAGATCGATGCTGCGGTGCTGAGTATCGTCCAGCAAGTCCTTGCGAATCGTGCATTAAATCTTGAAGACGATAGAGCGAAGAACATCAGTATGTTGTCACTCTTTCTCGATATTCTTGCCAAATCACCAAAGACCGAGGAGCAGCAATACGACCCCGTGTACCTACGCGACGTTGTCGTCGACTTTCTCGTTGCTGGACGTGACACCACCGCTCAAGCTCTGAGTTGGTTATTCTACAACGTAAGCCAAAACCCACGAGTGGAGTCCAAACTTTGACGAGAGATCTACAACACGCTACCCGAGCTCACAACGTCTGAATGCTGCGTGCCTACTCTTCAACAAGTGAAGCGGTGGTTAACCCCTCAGTTACCAGAAGATCCGTGTTGGAACCGCCTATTTTACGTCGTAAGTTACGACTTTATTTTAGTATATTTATTTGTATGGATGTGTCTTTTCCACACTGGATTCCCGCTATAAACTGTCAGAGGATATTCTGAGCTACGTCGTATGAGTTACGACATTACGTCGTATCACGAAAAGCCATAGCTTACGACGTTCAAGTATTGTTTTTGTCGAAGCAGATGCCTATTTACACATCCGTAGAGATCCTCGTACAACAGAGAAAGAGCTACATTTACATAAACTATTAATAAGTGCTGTCCAAACGCATTCAAACGATTGCCGATAGCTGAGCTGACTGATCCTCTTCATTGTCGGCCTCGCCGTCTTGTTGACAGAGCAGCTCACGCCGAGTTGGTTTTCGAGTACCAGCCTTGGCTGATCGTCGCAAGACGACTCGTTTGCCGAGCGATGCTGGGATGAAAGCCCCACTGCCAAAGTCTTCGTGCCAAATCTGATAGCATGTTTTGCGCACGCCTCCGTAGCTATGGCGCGACTTGGGGCAGAGGAAGCACTTTGCGTCTGCGTGTGAGCAATCCTCACAATATTAGGTCGTTTGAAAGGATTTTTTCGATCGCCTCGTAGAAGAGCGCATACTTTGCAAGAGCGTTGCCGGCGCTTTTGGGTGCCTGAAACGGTGACCCAGTCGTCGAACTGGATGTGTTTGTGACCGTCTAGTCGGCGGCGCTTGCGAGAGCGAGCCATAGGAGAAGGTGTAGGAGCAGTAGCTTCAATGAAGTCGTCGGCTTTGAGTTGCATCAATTGCTTATGAAGTAGAAGATACCATTCTCCACGATCTTTTGGTACCAGCCTCTTGATCCGGCATGTTTCCTTGTGTGTTCGAGCCATGAACTTGCCAAAGTTTCCGGCAGGTATTGCACCGTCTTCGGTCATTGACCAATGCCGAGAAAAGCGACGCGTCATTGGGTTCAGCATTCTTGCCACTAAGAGCCCAATGACGTGGAGTATTTCATGTGTTTCGTACGCAGCCTCCACGCGCAATCGCCTTTCAATCTGCTTAACAGTCACGGGGGCTGGTACAGTGCGTTTCCTTTGCTTCTGTCGGATTCGCTTAGCTCTGGCGTGTACTGTCTGCTTCTTGTAGCGATTTGTCTCTTTGGTGATGGTAACCCACAGTGATTTTGGTAGGAAGTAAAATAGAAGCAGCAAGGGAGAATCCGCAATGTTTTGTGGCTCCCTGATCGGTACGGCGACGTCCGTAGACAGGCGAGGGTACCCTCCACTGTCAGCTTCGAAGATGGACGAAGGAGGACTCCTCTCAAAGCTCCGAGAGTGCGGCCTTATC